CACCTCAGCGGGTGCCCGCGCTCTCCTGAGGGAGAGGCACCGGCTCAATGCGCGGAGGCAGCAGCTGCCTGTTTAGTGTTAGATTAGCCTGGGCCCTGTGTTAAAACAAGCCATTCTGTTAAAAGCCGATGGAAGGTAACAGTAGTGAATTTTGTCATCGTTTTTCAAGTCTTGTTTCCTTAAGCCTTAACGCTAAGTAAATTTTGCGCTTAATTTAAACCCAACGCCAGAGTTTTGGTTTTATGAGGCTTGCCTCAAAGGCAAAGCTAGAGGTCATTGCTACTCTTGCTGAGGGTCTGTTGGGTTGGATTAGTTTTGGTATTTTATAAATACGCTGACAACACACAGAAGATTCATGTAACTAAAAAAAACTCCCGACGGCTAAGCTGTACGATACCAAATTACTATACTAATACCTAACCCTACTGTAGTAACCCTATAACAATACCTACCTCTGCAAAACCTAACCACATCCTTAAGATCACCAAACCATTCACCACAACATACATGTCCATTTATGTCCTAGGTTCACCGTAAATACCCACCGTTCCGGAGCTTGCGGGGTTTTTTGGTACCAGTCTGTGCAATGCCCCACACAACACGGGGAGGGGGGAGAGCCTGTTGGTGTCCTAGTCTTTTTTCCTGGCATCCAGGGATCTGGCCATACATAGTGTCCTCTCCTGCAGGAGAGAACGGAGGATTTCCCCCTGCCCTCCCCCAGCCTCTGTGTTTGGGGACCTAAAGCTCTTCCCCATGACAATAACTTAGGAGAAAAGACACGTGTCTTCTCTGGAACACAATTTATCCATGGGAAAACCCAAAAGATGTGTAAAAGACAAGCAACACCAGGTCACTGTGACTGTGAGCCTACGGACAAGCCCCTCTAACCCAGACTCGAAACTGCAACCTGACAACTGTGCTCCTGTGCCAATGCTGTGTGTTCCTGACCATCACAGAGCTTCATCCCACTGTCCTTTGGACTGGCTTCCAAATGAAAAGCTAAGGCTCTCTTCACTCCCAGGCAACAGGGTGAGCCGCAGAGTGCAATGTGGGTCCGAGGAGGAACCCCATAGATAAATACATGAAAAAGTTATGTGTGATAATGCTGACAGTGCCAGAGGACTGGGACTTGATTATCTGATGAGAGCAGAGGAGAGAATGATACGTTTTCCATAAAATAAACTTCCCCTCCAGCTCTGAGAGGACTGCGTGTCCACAGCTCAAAGGGCACCCAAAACATTTCACTCTTCTCCAGAATGTCTGGGCTATGTTGAAAAAAAAAATCACAAGAGTGCTTCACAAATACCCCAGACAGGCTGAAGGGAGCATCCGACAGGCAGAAGATGTCTGTCTCTGGTAGTTCGACTCTTCATTTGCAACATGACACAGCAGATGCAACCAGCAGAATTTATTTATGTATTGGGTTTGTGTGGCAAGGTTTTGGTAGCGGGGGCGGGAGGGGCTACAGGGGTGGCTTCTGTGAGAAGCTGCTAGAAGCTTCCCCCATATCTGATAGAGCCTTTACCAGCTGGCTCTAAGACAGCCCTGCCGCTGCCCAAGGCCAAGCCAATCAGCAATAGTGGTAGCGCCTCTGTGATAACATATTTAAGAAGCAAAAAAGTTGTGTGGCACACAGAAATGGCAGCTGGAGAGAGAAGTGAGAACATGTCAGAGAAACAACGCTGCAGACACCCAGGTCAGTGAAGAAGGAGGGGAGGAGATGCTCCAGGCGCCAGAGCAGAGATTCCCCTGCAGCCCATGGGGAAGACCATGGTGAGGCAGGCTGGCCCCCTGCAGCCCGTGGAGGTCCACGGTGGAGCAGATATCCACTTGCAGCCCAGGAAGGACCCCACGCTGGAGCAGGTGGGTTCCCAAAGGAGGCTATGACCCCGTGGGAAGCCCACGCTGGAGCAGGCTCCTGGCAGGACCTGTGGATCTGTGGAGAGAGGAGCCCATGGAGCAGGTTTTCTGGCAGGACTTGTGACCCCACAGGGTACCCACGCTGGAGCAGTCTGTGCCTGAAGGACTGCACCCCATGGAAGGGACCCACACTGGAGCAGTTCGTGAAGAACTGCAGCCCATGGGAAGGACCCACGCTGGAGAAGTTCATGGAGGACTGTCTCCCATGGGAGGGACCCCATGCTGGAGCAGGGGAAGAGTGTGATAAGTCCTACCCCTGAAGAGGACAAAGCAGCAGAGACACCATGTGATGAACTGACCGTAACCCCCATTCCCCGTCCCCCTGCACCGCTGGTGGGGGTAGGTAGAGAATCCTGGAGTGAAGTTGTGCCTGGGAAGAAGGGAGGGGTGGAGGGAAGGTGTTCTGAGATTTAGTTTTATTTCTCATTACCCTACCCTGCTTGATTGGCAATAAATTAAGTTAATTTTCCCCAAGTCAAGACTGTTTTGCCCATGATGGTAATTGGTTGAGTGATCTCTCCCTGTCCTTATCTTGACCCACGAGCCCTTTGATATATTTTCACTCCCCTGTCCAGTTGAGGAGGGGGGAGTGATAGAAGGGCTTTGGTGGGTACCTGATGTCCAGCCAGGGTTAACCCACCACAATTTAGTAGGAAAATTAAGCATATGTATATAATGTAATTCATAATTTTTTTTACATTTATCTAAAATTAAGTATAGGTCAAGCAGAATAGGCACATTATGGGTATCTGGTGGTTTTTGCACTGTCTGGAGTGAGGAGACAGTACAAACAGCAGAAGTAAGCTCTCTCACTGTGCAGTTACTCAGAATACCTAGATTAGGAATCATCTTCTCTCCAGTGACAACACTGGGATCCTGAAGTGAGGGTACGTGGAGCGTGTGGTCTGAATATTACTGCCCTGTACTGCAAGCTCTCTAACAAAAGTGATCTTTAGAAATTCATGCAATTAAATGTCAACAACAATTAGATGTCAATTGCATGGAGATTAAATATTGAACAATCACAAAATGGTTTATATTGAATCTCACTGGCAAATATGTTTCCATCCCTAATGAAGTGGCAGAAATGATATATATATCCAATTAAAGAGTAAGTAAAGGCAGAACCCTTCTAAAATCCAGTCCTGCAAAAACAGATCCTGCAAAATTAGGTTTTGTTTTAAAACTAAGCAAGGAGAGTTTATTATTATTTGAGGGTTTTTTTAATTTATTTGTTTGTTTTTCAGAACTGAGGCTTGAGATGTACCTGAAGTGGACCATAGTACAAGATCTGTGAGTTTGTCTGAGAAAGCCGATCAGTGTGAGGGGGGAGAGGGGGATAATTTCCCCAAAGCAGACAAAGCAGTTATATTGGCCAAATCCTTTCCTAACAAAAGCTGAAACAATTGATGTCATAATGTAGGACTGAATTAGTTGAATGGTAGGGAAATGAAAATTAATTTTATTTGCTAAATATAAACCTCTTATGAATGTAAAAGCATATTCAGGTCTCTACCTTGCACTTATGTAAGTAAAATTCTTCAACTGTCTCATGAATCCTGTCCTTCCTGCTTTTTAAAGGATTTTAGTAAGTGTTTTGTAGCTGTACTCTGGCACCTAGATTGTGTTTTGACAGTTTCCTCTGTGTTTGTGCAGAACTGGCAGCATCTTTCAAACAAGAAGATACTTTATTTCATCTGACTGCAGCTTAGCCTTTAACACGTAAGATAGCATTTCTCTTAGAATGAGGATAGTGAAAGGCGTGATGCATAGTAAACATCATCATCCGTTCTGCCAGGGCGTTTTTATGTAATCTGCAAAGTAGCAGCGTAGGCACAAAGATGTTCTAGGAAAAGAGTCATTTCATAGATGAACACTTGAATCATGGTAGCTCTAACGCTTGTTTTCAAGGTCTGAGCAGTGAAGAAATGTCTGTGCTGGGACTGGAATCCAATGTCATCTGTCAAGGCAGGGCTAAAAGTGATTGTAGGCCTGGTTTCTGCCTGCAATTTCTTTGATGAAGTGCTCTCTGGAGGTGTTGTTTCCTACATTTATTTTTTTCTATTCCTGCTGCTAAGACAGGTGTGTGTAATTGTTCCCATCATACTTTTAAAGCTAAAATGACACCATTCAAACTATTATTACAATGTTTTATTGAATTTCTTTGGATGCAATAGAGGAATCTGTTGAAAAACACTTTCATCCTGATCTCTCTCCTGAACTTGAAGGTGGAAAATAGCTTGGAGATTTCAGTACAACCCTTTTTATGTCTTTAGAGGAAAAGGCATGAATAAGAAAAGAAGTTATGTTTCTTAATATATTTGAAATATAAAAACCAAATACTATTGTGACATTTATATATTTTATACATCATTTATATATTTTATGCTTTCATATTCTAGTGACTATACACAGCGATATCAGAGATTATAGGTAGTACAAGAACAGTCCACTTAATAGAAGGAACAGAGTAAATTTGAAAAATATTCTTCTGAAAACATTTTTTCTTAAATTTCAGCTTGGATTCTTTAGGTAATTTGACAGTATTTTGTGTGTAACCAATTTCAGTGTTTCGTCAGTATAATCAGCTACTTCGATCTTCCTTGAGATTCTTGTGTCAGTTAAGAATTATTTTTAATATAAAATAATAAGCAAGAAAAAGAACACCCTGGAAATATTGTTTTAAAGGTGTATAAAAATAGTATCTGAAACTGAGTTGTTACAGTGTCCTGATGGTTTCAGTTGCCATATCTTCTTCCCTTGCTTATTACTGTGCAATTTAGCTTTCACCCAACTGTAGCATTACTAACTGAAGCTGCAGACAGTTCGTAGTGACAAATTGCTCCTCAGAGCTCTAAATGTGGTCTCCAGGTACCACGAGGTGACAGAACTTCTGGGAAATCTGTTTACACATCCAGAGGTATAGTATTGAATAGATTAACAAAAATGCTTTTTTCTTCTTATCTACTATCCTGTGGTGGAGTCAGATAAAGCCTTCAGAAGATCATTTCTTCTCCTGATGACACTCATCCCTGTTTTGGGCCAAGAGGTGATGGGAGTCCCATTAGTGTTGATTTAACCTTTTCATTAGCACTGGTCAGAACAGCATTTACTACTCTTTCATATGAGGTGGGTACAGCTATAGAGCTGGTCAACTTTTCAGCTCAGGTCTGCACCAGTCCTTCTCCAGTAAACAGAGAAAGAGAAGAAAGAGAGAGAATGTATGGATTTGGTGATGTGCTGGTTTTGGCTCAGATACAGTTGATTTTCTTCATAGTAGCTAGCATGGGGCTGTGTTTGGATATGTGCTTCTCACACCGCCCCACCAGTGGGTAGGCTGGGGCTTGGAAGGGGACACAGCTGGGCCAGCTGACCCTGGCTGACTGGGGCGATACTCCATGCCATGCGACATCATGCTTGGCATATAAAGCTGGGGGAAGAAGAAGGAAGGGAGGACATTCGGAATGGTGGCATTTGTCTTCCGAAGTAACCGTTACACATAATGGAGCTCTGCTTTCCTGGAGATGGCTGAACACCCACCTGCCGATGGGAAGTGGTGAATGAATTCCTTGTTTTGCTTTTCTTGCAT